AAAAGGCTTTACTATTATTTTTCAAAAGGTTTAGGGAGAAATTATTTTTCAATAGGTTGAGGGGGTTTAAAAATTATGCCCATCGTTGCTTAACGTGCCAGATCGGACGGGTTGGCACATTTAAAAAGCAGCACGGACGTATTCAAACGATTGTTGAATTAATATAAGATAAACCTAATTCTAAGCAAATTAAAAAGCACAAAGTTTACATATTTTTGAAGAAAAGCAAAAATACAAAGTAAAAATATATTTTTCCGAAAAAAATAAATTAAAGATAAAAAGTGTTTATTAAAGCTAACGTTTTTACAAGGGAATAGGTATTAATCTACGTCCAAAGTATAATGTTAGCTTCGACACCCCGATAACAAGGGATTTGGTAGCTACAGCAACGTCATAGCAAGTTTCTTTAATAAATACCCATGCGGTATCGAATATATTTGGTTTATAATACACAACTGAAAAGGTAGGTTTGTATATTTGTTTCCACTCCTTTTCGTTCTCATCGTACGCAAACCAAACATGCCCACTCGGTTTTAAAGTTGTAAAATTTGAATGAGAAGTTAAGGCAGGGCGTAAAGCATGCTCAAAATTTTGTGGTTTGGGCGTTCTTCGAAATAAAGATATTTTATTCTCTTCATTCTTTACTATTTTATTTTCACAGTTAACAAGCTCTACTAGTACAACAAAAATTAACATAAAAAACATTTTTAATATTATGCAAAAAATGTGAATGATCATTTATATAGTTTGCATAAATTTCTATTCATTTTTGTTCTTCAACTTCAACAACGTCCAAACATTCCAGAGGATAAAAATATTGATGCTGTCGTCCTCCGACAACGCAAACAAGAGGTAGCTGTGGATAAACGAGATCAATGTGATGTCGAACATAGAAATATTGCCTGATTGTCACACGTAAGTATCCTCGTAATGCAAAAAGACGATCCGCGCCCATCTTAGTCAATTTACTTGGGTATATTTCGAACTGAATATGTCTTAAATGATTTGTAACTATAAACTTCTTTCCTGGCTTTATATTATTATCTGAAAAAGTTTTTTGACCAATTCCATTGATGGCAAGATCCTCATTTGTCATAGTAGTTAGAGTTTGAAGGAATTGAATATTTTCGTTGTATTTTTTTCGTATTTCCCTGTGAAGCGATTCTGGTGCACATCCTCCATTAAATTTACAAAGTAATTGAAGTAACGAGCAAGTTTTGACGCGCACATGAGGCGGAGGTGATTTTGATGAAAATTTAACAGGTTCTCTAAATTCTGACATATTAGCACTAGTACGAATGTTCATATCCCCAGGTATAATTTATCTCTAAAAACTTATTTCTCTTGGCTTATATACCAAGAGGCCCTTTCGCAAACCTCATTCCAGGGAGTTCCCCGTTTCCATTTCTTCTCAAATTTACATGTGCTTTAAACACTACAGCCAAAACAAAAATTAGTAACAAATCTAGGACATAAGCGATTAATAAAAACATATCTTTATTAGGATTTACTGAAGGGCCGATTGAAAGCGCGTGAGCTTCATCAATAATAAAACAGGCATTCACATTTGGAGGGTATGGGCCGTGAATCGGATAAAGTATATTACTATCATTTTGTTTAAAAGCCCAGGTGAGACCGATTAAGGAAATTAGATATAGAGTAAAAATCATTTTTGCTTATATTATTACTAATAGTAATATTCTTATATACTAGGGAGCATTGCTAATCTTTGGACGAATCTTTTTATAATGGCATCACGACTTTCTGAAGGTATTGAGTGCAGTTTCCTAAGTGTGGAAGAAAAACTACTTCCTTGCTTTGAACGGTTTACAAGAAAACAAATGCAATAATGTCCACATGTATCAGATAATGGAGATTGAATAGAATAACGGCTTTGTTTAACTATTTTAAAGCGATTTAGCATAGATCGACGCATATCACAGTTAGGGGGGTCTCCGAGCGAGTCAAAGTATTCTAATGTGTTCTTTCTATCTGAATAACAAGCAATCCAGTGTTCCCCTACAGTTCCTTTCTTCATGGTGTTTGCAATAAAGCAAAAAGGGCTATTCCGTTCTATATTTGGAATATTATTAGATGAAAAGACACCCAGAAATTTATTCTCAAGTGGTTTGTAGCGGCTTAATATAGTTTCAATTTGCAGAGAATTCATCTTAAACAGATCCATCGCTACTTAACACGCGGTCTGCATTTATGGACAGAACCGAATCAAATTCACCCATAATTATCATTTCATAACCTTCATCTTTGATTGGCTGATTAAAAATACACCTGATAGTCGTAGTTCCTTGTCTTATTAATTCTAGTCCGTTCGTGTCCTCTAGTGTTGAAGTCATCGGTATAACAAAGAAACAGGAGGATTTTGAAAATTCTCTCATACTGATATCGAGAGTTCTCTGGTCAGTGTTTGGCCAATTATCAAGGTCCATACCCACAAACATATCAACATAAGCGCGAACGAAGTTATTATCAGCAAAATCAAAATCATATGAAACAGCAGGAAATTGGAATCCACCAAATTCTGCAGAGACAGAGCGCAAGTTTGCGTGCTCAAAAGTGAAAGGCGATAAAGCACTATTTCCCGTGAATGCAGGAGAGCTAACAAAACAGATTATTAAGCGTCTCGGACAAGTACTTGTGAACGCCGCATGAGTAATTTCTTGACGCCCTTTTCCCAGGAAAACACTACGGATATCAATTTTTCTATAAGCATACTTTGCAGGTGTTTGTTCTAGATGTCTAGCTATAGCATTATTTAACGACATACTCAGATCAACTTGTTTTATTAAAATTCTCATGTCATGAAGCCTAAGTCGGTATTTATGAGGGTTTTCTACTAATGCTGCAGTGCTGCGGAATTTTGGAGTATGAATTAGAAATTCATCAGAATTTCTGTAAATGGTCCAGATCACGTCACTTTGTGGAATTAAGAGCTGGTTCTGTCTAGCCATGTCATAATCTAAATGGGAAAACATTCTACATAATTTACCTTTGGCAAAACGAGAAACTCGAGATTTAAAGCCAGAGCCCTCGGAATCATCCTTATCCACTGCGTCTTTATAATAAAGCGCCGCTTCATATAGGCCCTTACTTACTTCTTTATCGGCGCCAAGTTCATGCAGAATTATACATCGGTATGCATAGTGGATGCCAGAATCATAGCACTGAACCCCATTAATTGAAAGAGTAAGACGACGAATCCATGTAAGCCCTAAATATTGAGCAACCCCTGTAAATTTATCACCTTTCAAATCGGCAGCTTCACCGTCTGTGATAGGAACCCACTCACCACTAGTTGTATCTTTTCTTTCAAGAGATAAAACCAAACTTAAAAATGTTTTGCTCAAATCAAGATAGAGCGAATCACCAAAATATCGAAAAACAAACGGTCCCGCAGATTGATTGAGAGCATTGAGAGGTAGTATTTCTTTGTATGCCGAACGCTGTATACCAACATTTGTAGAGGGTATAGAAAAGAAGGTCAGACGATTATCAACCCCTTCGGAACTATCTTTATCAATTTTCTTTAATGTGGTCATTTTTTACTATGAAAAAATTAGTAATTATGCTATACTTATATACTCAGAAATTTTCTAAACTAAGTTGATCTCTATGGCGCCGTCCTTTTTTCTCTAGACTTTCTGTAATAAGTTTTGGCTTGCGTTTCCTTTTACCTTTTCCGCATTGCTGGAGCTTTTTCCCAACTTTTTGAAGACCTTCGCTACCATGTTGCTTCAAGGCATCACTAACTGATCGCCCTTGTGAAACATCTTCGAGCACATTTTTACCAACGTTGATTGCTTCTTGGCCTGCACTAGAAGCTAAATTTTTAACTATTGGCATTAGAAAACGCCCTACAGTACCGAGCACTCCAAAACCTCGTTGATACCTTGTTCCCTGAAAATATCGACTTTCATCTGATATGTCTGTTTTTGCCCCACCATCTTGTGCTGCTAGAAAAGGACCCCAGTCTATTTTATCTAGATCTACAGGTACATGTGTCATTTTTAAAATAGAGAGCGTTGAAAATGTAGTGTTAGTATACAGGTTCCCCAATGGAATTTTACAAGTTTTCCTGCTAGGGTACGAATTTCAATAGTAATGTCTGGATGACGTTTACCTAATATACGATGTTGATGTTCGGTCATATATACTTCGGAAATACTATCACCAGGCTTACCAGTGAGATTCACAACACGTAATAGAGGAGCAGTTACGTTTCCAATTATACTATTTTCAACAAGCCTTGGAGCGTAAACCAAAAATTGCCGCACGCCCCCCGAGATATCAGGCATATACTTTGCCACTTGTCCACTATGAACTTTCTCAGAATCAAAACCAAGAGTATATGCTAATTGACGACTTAATTGAATATATTGCACATTTCCTTGTAAGAAGACATGGAACCTCTTATGCAATTTATCGAAGTGTACTGAAACCCATTGATATTTTGGATCGGCTAGTTGTATATTGGAAAAGCTAAGAAGCATTTTTAGATATTCAGGAGGATAGCCATATTTAGCAAAATGCATTTTCTTTACATTAGGATCCGAATCATCAACTCTTATTGTTAACTTTTCTTTGTGAGGTTCTGCTTTTTCCTTTTGGCCTGGAAGCTCTTTAGGTTTTGTTTTGTCTTCGCTTGACACACCGCCAAGTCCAAAGAAGCTTTTCCATGAGGAGGGATGGTGAGGAGGCTCTCCAATTAACATTTCAGGACGGGGAAGAGAAGGCCGCTCCTCTGTATGAATTATTTCATCTACTTTAGGCTGCACAATATTTTCAAGTAAATTTGCGGTTGAGGGCGGAATACTTACAGGGTCTTCTTCTGCTAATGGAGGTGCCCATTGCTCATCCTTATCGTAAATTGTTTGAGATTCCTGCAGAGTCTTTTCGCTTGTATCAATTTCTTCTGTTTCTTCTTCGATAATCGTTGGTTCATCGTTCGCCTCAATATTTTCTTCAATATTTTTTTCTTCTGGTAATGGTGGTGTCCATTGCTCTTCGTCCTCATCGCTTATTGGTTGCGATTCCTGCGGAGGCTCTTCTCTTGTATCATCTTCTTCAGTATCTTCTACTGTTTCTTCATGTAACTCATTACTTTCTTCTGGTAACGGAGCTTCCCATTGCTCTTCGTCATCATCGGTTATTGTTTGTAATTCATGTTTTTTATCTTCTTGCATATCTTCTTCCGCAGTACCTTCTTCGATAATCGTTGGTTCTTCGTTCGCCTCAATATTTTCTTCGATATTTTCTTCTGGTAATGGAGGTGTCCACTCTTCTTCGTCTTCGTCGGTTAGAGCGTCATTATTATCATGATCCTCAATATTTTCCTCGATATTTTCTTCTGTTAATTTTTCATTTTCCGCTTCAATAGTTAAAGATACAGGTATTGACGAAGTATTATCTATTTCCTTGTCCTGTTTAGCAAGTTCCGCGTCAACTTTACCAATAATTTCTTCTGATAAACGTTTTTGCCCCGCAACAGCCTCTTCAACCTGACTAGCTGCTTCCTTTACCTTACGTTCTGCGGCCTTAGCACGATCTGCAGCTTTTCGTGCTTCTGAAACATCACCGCGTGTTTCTGCAGCTTTAGTCTCTAGTTGTGCTTCCGAAGCTCTTTTTCCATATTCTAAACATTCCTGTGTCCATTTATCAATTGCAATTTTACGATTAGTCAACAATATTAACTGAGACTTAACCCATTCAAGTATATTTTTAGGTGTTTTTCTTAAGTGTACAGTTTCGCCCGTTTCTTTTAATGTTATCACACTATCTTTTAACGCATACTTAAAGCGCGCATTCTGCCAATATTTTGCTCCAAGTTCCATATTTATTTGTGCTTGCTCTGCCAACTCGACACTATTTCTCCATGCTCTTGTCGCTGCACGAACGGCCATTTCCATTAAAACTTTTTGATCATCAGTTAATGATGGCTTTTCATCAGGCTCCTCTACATATGTAAGGGGAGTTATTTTCCCATCTAAAGGAGTTTTGTCATTAGATTCAATTTGGTTTTCTTCAGGTGTTGTCACTGGAGGCTCAGGAGTGAGCGGAGCTTCGATTATTGGACTTGTCATGGGAGTGGGCGGAGCTTCGATTATAGGGCTTGTCACAGGAATGGGCGGAGCGTCAATTATAGGACTTGTCACGGGAGTCTCTGGATTGGGAGGTGCCTCGACTGAAGTCTCAGGATTGAGCGTAGCGTCAATTATAGGACTGGTCACGACAGTAGCAGGAGTGATTGGGGCCTTTTGAATTGTAGGCGAAGGCTCTTCAGTTTCTTCAGAATTTTCTTGATCATTTTCAACAATACTTTCTTCTACAGAATCTGTTGTTTCATTTTGTTGAATAGGTTCAGGCACAATTGGAGAAGAGGACATAAAGCTTTTAATTGCATTCATTATCAGATCCTTCTGATCAGCTTGTGGCTCTAATCTGACCGTCTCAACAGAGCTCCCCGCAACCGATGATACATTTGGAAGTTTTGCGCCCTTAATTTCCGTATTTAAATATTTTATAAATTTATAAGCACGGTCCTTTGGCATATCAAAATAACCTTCTTTTTCCAATTGTTGAGCGATAGCCTCCAGCGAAAAATTAACATCCGATTTTTCAATCTTAGCAGGAGGCAATTCTGTTTGTGGTGTTGATTCAAGGGTTAATTCTTGACTATTGACAGGTGCAGCTTTATCCTCAGTTTGACCAACACTTGGCGGATGCATAAATTCTTTAATAGCTTGTTTGATTCGATCCCTTTGATCGGTATACGGACGAAACCGAACTCTTTCTATACCATCAACTGGGGCAGGGCTTATAGGAGGCAACTGAATTCCTTCTTTGCCTAAATATTTCATAAAATTAAATGAGGTTTGCTTTTGCATATCGAAATAGCCATTCTTAGCCAATTGCTCCGCAGGTTCTAATGTTTGTTGCGAAAGAATAAATTTATCAATAACTTTTAAGTAAAGAGATTTTTGATTTGCAGGAGGCAAAAGACGAATATTTTTTCCTCCTTCTCCTGGACTCAAATTTGTAAGTTTTGGACTAATTGCCTCATCCTCTTCTGATAATAGCTTGATAAATTTATTGAGTTCATTTGTATAAAGATCGAAATAACCATGTTTATCATACTGTTCTTTTATAGATTCGACAGAACGCCTTTTACGAAAATTCCCATAAATTCTTTTTTTATTCTCTTCAAGCCTTATTTCCTCTCGTTCGCGATCCAATTCCTTTTTCCATACATCAAGCAAAACTGCATTAATAGCCTCTTCCAATGCTTCTTCTGAGGCAAAGGACAAATCGGGTATCTCGATACGAATAGGTAAAAGTTCATTTCCGTATCTTCGAAAAACAGTTATTGATTCTTGTTCTTCGGAATCTCCGGCCAATGAAAAAGAAAACGGATATATAATATTAGATAGTGCAACAGTCCAACTTGAATCCAATTCAAGAGTATCAGGCATTCGAACAGTAAATTTAGAAGTGGTATTTCCTTCAACCCCTCCTGTATTTGAGGGTAATATAACATAAAAGGAGTCCATATTTATCTTCTAACAATATCGCTATCGTTAATCCAACTATTAAAATTATCGTTATATCCTATCCAACGAACAAAATGTTGCTTATTCCCTGCACGTATACGGGTTTTTAAAATTTCAGCAATACGGTGAGATGTATCTTCTTGTGTGGGTACCAATTCTTCTCTATAAAATATCCCTTCAATTAAATTTCCTTCAAAATCTTTTAACTTATATGTAATGGGCGATCTATTGTCGTTTTTAATATGTACGCGAAACAATTCGTCAGTGTAGTTGGGTAAATATCCCTTTTCAAATTTACCTTTTTCTTTAGTGATACGAACAATTTTCCCTGGCTCTAGTATTGAGCTTGTTTTAGTATTTTGTATATTTTTAGGATACTTATATAGTCTGTTAAAAAGTTCCCCAGCATTCTTAAACGTAACAGAATTTGGAGTTACACCCGTGCTTCGATTAATACTTGCATTTATTCCTGAAACAATTTTTTGAATAACATCCTTCCAACGCAGACTATTTTGTTCGCTAAAGTATCTGTACAATCGCTCTTTGATAGTACGGTTGGCCCTTTCTGCCATTGAAGCATGCACATCTGGACTATAAACTACACGTTTATCTATATCCTTCTTTTTAAAATATTCTTTCATTCGTTTCGCTTCAAATTCTAACCCTCGATCCGTATATAATTTATGGGGAAGTATTCCTTTTGAAAGTTTAAAAATATTTTCAAACGCACCAATCATATCCTCAGAACTCTTAGATTTGGCAGGCACCGCAAAAATTCTTCTACTTAGTACATCAATACAAACCAAAAGGTATTTGTACCCATCATTATATTTAGCTAACTGATCAAAGATTGCCAAATCCGCTTGCCAATCTGTGTGCAAACCGCTTGGTCTAGTGGCCATTCTAGGAAACTTTTTTCTTAGAGGCCTATGCATTGTGTACACTCTCTGCTTATGAAGAAAATCATAAACATATTGAAATTTTATTTTTGGGTATTTACGACGCGCTTCTTCATAGACCCGATTTATTCCAGCATAGGAGGCGGGTGAATTAAGTGAATAATATATTTTTTCTAAGAAGGTATCTAAAGCTTTTCCCATATTTGTGGAATAAATTTATTTTTTCTTCTTACTAATCCCGGTGAATTTATAGGCAAGACTTTTACCAGAACTCTCTTTTTTCTCTTACCGCTGCCTGATTGATTATCGGTTGTATCACTTTCACTAGTGCTTTCTCCACGTGTCTCTTTAATCATTTCTTTCACTAATGGGTCCTTAGAAAGACGATTAAATAGAAAACTGAAACCTTTTGGGGGAGATGATGTTTCACCCTTTACATATTCGAGAACATCTGTGAAATTACTATTCTTTACAATTCTTCCAGGGACATTAGACTCAAAACTCCCGTTCTTACTTATTCTGAATTTTTCTGCGTTATCTTTTACATAATTATCCAATTCTGTGGAATAGCGTGTTGCAATAATACCTTTGAATTTGGAAAAAGGAATTGCGCTTTTTCTTTTTGTTTGTGCCCGCTTAGGAGTAACTTCAGATTCAGACGGATATTCGGAGGTAGAATTCGGTTGAATTTTGCTGGGAACTAACTTCGGTTTTGGCGTATTAGCGATGTTTTCCTGCAAGTATGGTGCAACTTCTGGAGAAGGTTTGCCTTCATCGATAATAACTTTTTGTGGGCGATTTTCCAACTCGTTTTTGAGCTGACGCCTCTTCTTATATAACCAATTATATTTCTTTGCTTTTACTTCTTGTGAAATTTTTGGATCATCCAAAGTCTTTTTCAATTCCATGTCTGTCTGCGCTTTCTCTTTTTGTAGAAAATCCCCACCTTTAATCATGCCTAAAAGCGTAAGATATTCGCTCTCAGGCACCATAATCATTTTCTTTGTATGTTTCATTCTTGAGAAAATTTATGAATAATGTGTTCAGCTAAAGCTCCCAAGACGGGTACAAGTATTGCTGCTAGAGCGGCACTACCTCCTTGTTGTATTCGATTTCTTGCACTTTTTTCAGTACGCGTTCGAGCGATTGCTCTATAAAAGTCAGCAAACTGTGATAATTTTTTACGTTGTCTAGTACTCAGGATAAAATTGTGCTTCAAAATATTAGCACAAATTTCAACAATAGCTAAAATTTGATCTGCGCTTGCTGAAAGAATAAGAGCGTTTTTCTTTTTATCTGAAGTAGTTTTTGATAATTGTTTAAGAAACTCAAAATTATCCTTAACGTATGGACTATAGTTATACGTGGGCATTTTTATTTTTAGCATTTTTGAGCACTTATATATTACATAGGCAGATATATAGTAGTTTCTTCTCCAGGAAATATTTTTGTAGATAATCGCATATTTTCATCTGTACTAGGATGCATGTTTATCAATAAATAAGAAAAACGTTCCGATGTTGCATCTCGATAGGCTTCAAGAAAATAATTAAGCATTTTTGGGAAAAGTTGCGAGCCGAGTGTCCGTACTTGCAGAAGGCCTTGAGGGTTTTTTGTTAAAAGAATATAATGGGCATTTGCTCTTGCAGTCTTTATATCGCGTCCATATAGGGATTGAGTTACAAAAATCACACTTACGCCCCAATTATGTGAACCTCGAGTAAAAAGTAAATCTAGAAAATCATTTGGAATATTAAGCATTAAGTCATCTAAAACTAAAAGCTGATGTTGCTTAATTAGTTCAGATTCAGGAACCCCATTATAAGTA